CCAACCCAAACCATTCTATGATTCTAGCTTTATCCTGTCAGTCACTCTCCTTTATAACTCACATGGCTCGAAACACAAAGAAGAAATACAGATGCCACTACATACTTTTAGCTGACCAGCTGAAATTGAGTCTCACTGGTCACAATGAACTATGATTGACATGACCAACCATTTAGCAGTATTACTCATCTTTATGTACTTTACTCCTTCTGTTATAAAATCCTGTTTCACCACCGGCAAAGTTAAAGGTACTTTCAGAACAGCCTCCCCTGTCACCAGTGGCTTTGATTCAAGTTTATGAATTGACAAAACAGGTGTCTGCTTTGAAGTTTTTTTTTTTTTCAAAGGGGAAAAAAATGATTGACTTGAGCCTAAACTTACATTCAGATATTCCCCACACTGGGAGAAAGTAACGATTTCAAGCTCCACAGGTGTATGTTCCCTTCCCCCACAGCACCAACATGTCTGTAAGGATCTTACCGCAGCGTGGTTTTTCACATAGCAGGGTTTGCAGACTGGCTTGTCATTCACCATTACATAGATTTCCCCAGCTAAAACACAATCACAGTCAAAACAGCAGAAGTGTTTCAGATGCCAGTTTTGACCTTCTGCTTGAGTATATTCGTTGCTGAATATTAGCTATGAGGAAGACACAAACAAATATTAATATAGGCATTTGAACAGTATTTCTTTCAATAAAGCTAACCTCAGTATGTTTTGTAATTTCCAAGGAACTCCCAGCAATTCCACCATTTCAAACAATTTCAACAACAAACACGTGCACTCATTTGAGTGTGTCACAAAAACCTCAATTTTTTTTTTTTTTTTTAATAAGAGCCAATAGATGCCAAAGACACTAAGCAGGCTGTTCTCGGTGTGCTGCACAAGGTGTAATTTAGTCAGGCGCTCCCCCTAGTGCCCTTCATGGGGAAACAACTGCATAATTGGGACTTGGAAGAGTTTGTATTTGTGTATTACATCCTATGTCCTTTAGACCGCACTAAAATCCCCACCAAATCCAAAGCAAATTATATATCTTCCTAGATGCAGAATGTTCATATTCATTTAGGTTCCTTACAACTATGATCAGCTGGAGCTGGTGAAGGCACATCATCTCCCTGCACTGAAATATTTTACTAAAAATCATATTCACTTCTCAGGGGAGCAAACCTGTGTGCTAAAACAAAAGGACTAGGATATTTCCTACCTCATCACATCCAGCACAGCGAGGTTTTTCGCTGTCGCAATAATGTCTTCCACAGTAGAGGTTACCGTTCTTCCAGAAATAGATCATGTCTACTAGAAGTTCACTGCAGGTGCAACAGACAAAACAAGCTGGGTGCCACAATTTGTCATATCCAGCACGTTCTGCATAGACAGCTGGGTCACCTTCTTTCATGTTCAGCTTGCAGCGATAGCAGGACTAGAAAGAAGTTATTACCAAGTTAGATAAGTATTTGAAGAGGTACATTTGTAGCAATTACATATTACTGACGTATTTAATAAACCCCACCTTTTCAGACAGAGATTAAAGCATTAGTTTACTCTAATGTGTGACATGATGCCACAGTATGGGTTTAGGTAAGTCATTCAAGATGATGTACATTCTACTGACATAGCACTAGTTCTACTTAAACAGATTACTCTATTTTGCCATATTCACATTCTTCTAACTACAGCCCAGTTCTTAAAACAACAACAAACAAAAATGATGTTATGGTCTATGAGCCTTGCATACTCAAGAATAAGGAGCAAATAATAAGGAGCCTACATAGCTAATGGACTAGACTACGACTAGAAAGTACTACAAGAAAATAGCTTTACTTATAGGTCAGGAGCACATCAAACCATATCTGCATCACTAGTACGAAAAAAAAAATTGTAAATATTTCAAACTCATTCGTTCTAAAGCTGTGTTCTAGGGCTGATAGTCACTCATGGCTGTTGTCCAATAGCCTGTGATTAACAATCTTAAAATGGGGAGAGCAATTATGGAAAAGGGACTACAAAGTTTATCATCACAGCTACACTACAAATTCTTCCAAAACTTCATAGTGAGTCTTCTGCCCTGTACCTGCTTACAAAGAGGGTTTTGTCATCAAGTCAAAAAACATGTGTGGTTTATGTTACTGAAACAAAAATTTTCATCTACAGTTTAATCACCAGTTTGGCTTTTTCTGCACTCCAGTTGGTCTGTGGACTGAGCCGAACATCCTGGGAAGGTTTTCTCTATGATTCACATCACTACAAGCCCAGCCACAAATGGCATCAACTTTTCAATTGTGTGTGTGTATACATATAAAAATGTATTATTTTTTTTTAAAGCGTCTTGGCTGTAAGTCATATTGATCAGATACCCACACTTGTTTCAGACAAGCAATTTTAAAATATACATAGAAAGACATCAAAAGGGGAGGAAGAACAGCTTGGAACAGATTGAAAGTGGAAGTGTAAATATATACATATACAAAGCTTTTTGGACTCTTCTTTCTACTTTAGACCTCACACTCCAAGAGGAGTCAATTGGAAGGTTTAGCAGCTGTAGAGACCCAGATCAGGGCAAGACAATTTACCTGCCATTTGCAACAATCCAAGCCTAGGTGGTTAAAAAGCACATGAAGATATTTACTACTTTACAAGATGACAATATGCTGAATATCCATTTCTCTGTTATTCATATTTTAACCGCAATGAAATAGCTTTTTTTTTTTAAACACAGGTAATTATTATTGGTATATTTACATTAATAATCGAGACCTAGTTGGTTTAATGTTGTTTTTTTTAAAAAAATCATGTTTAAAAGAATTGAATCCATTCCTATAGTGAAAGTTAGTTTTTCAAGAGATTCTGTTTACCACGGCTACAGGAATACATGCTTTCAGACTCAGTCTGAGAGATAACATACAAAGAAAATTTTGAGAACAAAGATGCAGCACTAATGGATACAAAAAAGTGTAGACAAGGATGGCAATTCTTCCACAAGGTATTTGAGAGCTCTTCTCTGTACAGGTTTTTTTTGAACTGTTTAAAAAAAAAAGTTGAAATAGTCTCAGCTATATGCTGTAACATTAAGTCCCATTGCAGAAATCAGACAAAAAAACCCCCTTAAGAACAATATATCTAAATCCTGATTATTTAGCCCAGGGTAAACTCAGTACCTAACAATAGATAAGCAGCTCAAACATTCACTTACACTAGTAAACACTTCTAAGCCTCTTTCAAAATCACTGTGCACAGCAAAAAGATATGCCTGGCTTAAACAGTAGGAAGTATACTCAGGTGCTCTAGTGGGAAAACTTTGGAAGTGATAAATGGGTACAATGCAACAATAAAGCATCTTTTGATGTAATTACTCAAGAGGACAGAGTGCCTTCTGCCCTTGACTTAATGTAGTGCAGGCCAGTCAGCCAGCAGGGTACAATGCAAGGTGGGTATTTGCGTAGGTCTTTCTTGCGGAGTTAAGTGAAGAACTGTTGTGGTGAAACTAAAGTAACCCAGGAGGAGAGGCTGAGTAAAGACAAAATGACAGCAACCTAATCAAGCCATGATAAAGTAACTTGTTAGTATCTTAGAATCTCCATGACAAGATGATGGCAAAAATAACTGAAAAATTAATTTTAGAAAGTAGCTACAGGTAACAAAATGGCACAGCATATTACTGATTAAGGTAAGTGGGCATGTTCAAAGCTAAAACTTAAATGTCAATATACTGTGTCAGTTTAAAAAAAAACCAAACAACAACAAAAACACACCAAAGAAAGCACACTACACCCCTCAATAACACTGAAAGCCATATTCTATCTAGAACTTGTATATTCATTTTCTGTAAGGAGCCTGGAGACAAACAATTTTTAGGATTCATACATGTAATAGCAACATTTCTGGAAACCAAGTTACAGGAGCTTTTGCTACTCTGAAGTGAAGGTCTACCTTCACTAAACTAATTTAATGTTACTTCAATAATCCTACCCCTATTTTGTATTCATAATTGGTAGCAGAGCCATGCACAGCGGCAGTTAGCAAGTTATGTCAGAAATACTTTAATAAGGCTATAGTTTCAGAAATATCAATGAAAACTGAGTAATTTTGCATACCTTATTTTTTGTTGAGCTATTAGAAGGCAGAAATCAGATGACCAAAAAAATAGATCAAAGAAAAAAAATAGAACTGAATATGAAAAGAAGGCTAATCAAAACAGTCATTATACAACTTGGTTTGTTGGACATGGCGGAGAGAGGTGTTACTTTATTATTTCTTAGTTTCATTTAATTTTAAACACAATTTGTCAAGCAGGTAATTTTGGTGCTCTTCCAAGAAAGAGAAGAAAACAGGCTTCTAAGATTAAACTAAACTTTTCAAGAGGAGAAAGTGTAGCAACTAGTCTGTAGGACTACACAAGTTTCTTTATTATTATTCTGTAAAAGCTGCCCACTATACTGTATCTCCAAGCTAACATGTTTTTGCAATGAGGATGTAAAGGCCACCTAGGAAGTTATTAGCTGCAATGCACTGAACATGGTCAGAAACCAGGGTTCTGTGCAGACATTTACAATGTTTTCCAGTTCCCCTTCTTTCTTTCCCTCCCCACGTTTTCAATATTCCAAGATAACAAACAAGTTAATTGGGTTAAAACAACCAAAGAGAGCACTCGGACGGTAACATACCTTATTGTTTTATCTTTCCCTTCTTATACTTACATACTGAGATGCCTTCCGATCTGGGGACTTGTCCTCCATCACTCCTACAGCAGCTGAGGTGCCTCTGTCACCATTGTTCACGTTATTCTTCTCAGTAGCTCTTGTTTCCACCTCCCCAGGGAGCTTAACATCTCCTACGCCAAGCGCCTCATTTTTGTACTTCTTCACAAATTGTTCCATCTGCTTAACTTCATTGGGGGAGAGCTCGTGGCATTTTGAAGGATCCTGATCGTGAGCAGGCAGCTGCTTAGCCAACTGCTTCTTCCTGTACTGTGCGCCTTCCGAGCCAGCAACAGGCTGCTTCTCCTTTGGTAGCATCTGCATATACTGCCTAGCCTGAACCAGGAGGAATTAAGATATCAGATGCCACTTCAACTATAGACCCATCCTTTTAAGCAAACATGCGACTAAAATAATCTCTGCTGTTGCTAGCGGCAGTCAAATTTGTCAAAACCAAGGTTCTTTCTACAAACATCAAGCTCCTGAAACACAGTAGATGGAGATAAAATACAGCAGATGCAGTAATTGGCTTCTTCCCAGAGTAAGAGCCAGGCTTCCTTTTAAGCCTTTTACAGAACAGAGTTATTACTTCTCAGAGTAAGCAGTAATTAACATTTACAGGGTGCCTTGTCTCTTCAAAGGTATCTAAAACTACTGATCATCAGTATAGCTTTAAAAAGTAGAAGCTGAAAGAGTTCGCCTAGGGCATACAGCTCATTGCAGAAATAATTCTAGCTAAATATTAAAACTGGAGGTTTTTTTCTTTAAGGCAAGGAAAAACCTAAAAATCAAAACAGTAACTGAATATTAAGTAACAGTTGATTTGGGCACACAAAGTTTGATTAATTCACTGAAAAACGATATTTTGAGAGGTAGGTCAGAGATAACGTGATTCCAGCATGGTTCACACAACACTGCAGTACAGCAAATTGCCAATCAAAGTTTGAAAAAGTGAAGCAAAATCCTCAGAAGGCTATCTACCATCTCATCTACTTCAGCTGAAAACATACTGGAAGAGAGTGGTTCTTTTAGATGTCAACACTGATCTTGTTCTTACCATATACAGTAAAAGCTATAAGGCAAGGCTGAGTGTTCTCCTTAACTTCAAACAATAACAAATTGTTGTGGGGTGATTTTGGTGGTGTTTTTTGTTTTGTTTTGTTTCTTTTAAGCCCACACTCCACACATATTTTTCAAGTTTCCTAAAAAAAGGCAGGTGAGAAAAATTGCACTCCAGGGACTTAGCTGATAGGTATTAATCGTATCTGCTAAAAACCACCTCATCTCCCCAGTTCTCAAGAAGTTCCATAGACAAGCATCCATACCTACAAGATGACACAGGCAAGATTCATTAAGCAGGCACCGTATTTTCAGTTTTGAGGAGGAAAAAAATAAGAGGTATACACAGAATGACTACAAGAGACAAAGTTATCCTTCCAGTAAGCTCTGCTACTCTTATCTCCCATCAACTCCTGCCTTGAAAATGAAGAAATCATCAGTTGGACTTACAAGTATCTGATTCTGAACAGGAGGAGCCCACTCATAAGTCACAGTATTGATGGATATGTTCTTCTTGGCTGGCACTGGATTAGTCAGTATCATTACATTGCGTTTATACATGGGAATGCCATCATTCTTCAGCTTTGCAATAAGGGTCGTGTATTTTGTGTCTTCAAAGAGTTTCCCCACTTTCCGATCTTCCTCATTGCTTGTGAGGACATCATGCTCTTCCTGGCCACATTTGCAGTTACGGCATATTTTTCTGAAATTGATGGAAACAGCAACAGTTACAGTCTCAGCTGAAAATTACATCTCACACAGCTGCACGCATAGTAACAGCATCACTGGGAACCCAAACCCTTGTTTTCAGTGCTTTGATTAGGGAATATACAAGTTATTCTACAATATATCAAACATCTCTTGAGGATATTTATTACTTGTACTGTTGTGTTATTTACAGTCTTTGTTCACAGAGATTGTGATCAGATATCAGTCAACTACACTAATGCATTTTCAATAAGATGCTATATAATTCCTTCAGTTATATCTCAGTACTGGTCATACACGTATGTCCATTATCACCCACCTACCAGATTTATTATGGGTAGTTACCCACGAGTTAACTTAAATGCATCAACATGATCCCCCCAGAAATAATTTATTTGGGCTTTTTGTGTGTATATGGAGAACCTGAAAAACTAAATTATACACACTAGACTATGCTCTTCATATGCATTTCACTGAATGCATGATATTTGGTTATCACAAAGTTGCTATCAAGTGGAAATAAATATTTCCTAGAAAGGAAAAAAATGCATACAGCCATATATACAGTGAAATTGCACCACGTTCTGTTCAAAGTTCAGCATTTAAAAGAGAAGATGATAGAAAAATGAAAGGCTTATATGGACAAAACCTTTCAAACAGCTCTGAACCAAGTCAGAGGTACCCTGGGTACATGCTGTACAGAGAATTTTCAGAGATAAGATCCTTAAAAGGTAGAAGGCTTTACTTAGATATAAATGGTATTCTTTCATATACACACATTGGAACTCCTTTAGTTAAGGGCTATTAGATACCAATTTATTACCTAAAGTGTAATTAAACAATTCACATATAATAAACAGAACCTTGGATTAGACAAGACAGTTTACTATTTATTATCCCCAGAGCTTCAGTTCAAAGCAGTCAGCCACAGTATGCAGAAATTAGTGAATTTGGATGTTAATTAAAGGTTCTTGTTATAGCCCAAGGAAACAGATCAACCTTCTGGATCTCTAATTTGAAGAGGAGTGAGTAATATTTTACCCCATTATTTATTCTTCACATAGCGAGTAGCATAAAACTACTACCTATAAAATGCTTCTCAACCCTTCTTGCCAAAACTTGAACTCTAACATTGTTCTGCATCTTGCTTTCTAAAGTCTTGAAGGCAACATATATGCCTTATCTTAAGGCATCTAATAGGTACATGATAAGAACACACCATGAGAACAGCAGGCCCATTAGGTGATGGGAAAGGAAGAAGGAGCACCTGCATATAACTGGTCTTGTGAAGTGATGCACAGCCAGCTCCAAAGATATGCACTACGTACATACACCAGTTTATGATGTGGGGTACTATAATTTCAGTGTGTGATGGATGCTGGTCAAGTGATTACCTAGCAACCATAAGTTACGGTAACCTAAGTTATGAAGCCCACTCCAAATAAAAATAGGTAACTCTGCAATACAAATGACCCACTCCATCCTAAAAATAACAAGCAAAGTAAGAATGTTAAACAGAGCAGACTCCGCTTTGCAACACATAAAAACCTAAAGAAATGAATAATTGAAGCGTAGGCTGCCTGACAGCTTGCATGACTTCCAACTCGTTTCCACAACAGGGAAGACACACAGAATTTCAAAGCTGATATTTATCTGGATACCTAGAAAACACTAAGCACTTTGCAATCTCCCAGCCACCAAAACCTTCAAGCATGAACTAGCATTGCCCTTTAAGCCTAAACACTGCACTACGCATCTCAAGCACTCACAACATAAAATTTTGCAAGATCTTCAGCATAAGTCTACGTGAGTACTTTACCCAGCTAATAGAGACTGTTTACTATACTAACAAAGCAATTCATACTAACTTTGCTCAGCTTTTGAGGTGTGCATGATTATACCTTATTACCAACTCTCAATCATGTCATCTTTGAGATCTAATACTAGGTGACAGAATCAGCCCTTACATTTCACGGGTTTAGCTCATTATTACATCATGACCATCCCGCAGCCATATGCCTCACAGCACACATGCAACTTGAATTCAAGCAGTGAGTCCATTTAACAATACTTTACCAGATATTTTCTTCAATTTTTCAACTAAGACTTTAGTAATAGTAAGCCCGAGTTTTAGTTTTGCCCCTTGACAGGATGTGATCTAATAATGTCATGAACAGACATTCTCAGGTAACCTGCATGGACTCCTGCAAGTAAAGCATAGTCTTTGCTCTCCAGAACTGCTCTGCTTACAAAACAGAACTCAGTAGGAACAATCCATACTGTCGTAGTGCCTATGTGGTCACAGCAGCAGTGTGACAGTCTGTGCAGCTCTCCTCACTCTGTACAGCAGCCAGTTACAGTGAAGCAGCATCAACAACCTGCAGAGACAAGACCATGGCCAACAAGCTGTGGTGAAATTCTTCCCCTGAGACTTTCACATGTGCTGAATGCCTTCTTTGTCTCTGTCTAT